AGCCCCCGATGGGGAGGACTGGGCTGGCTCTGTGGGCTTCTGGGGGTGGAAGCTCTCCTGCAGCCCCCCAATTGCCCCCTTTCCCCAGATGGAAGCCTGCGGCAAGTGCAGCCGGGATGATGGCCGAGTGCTGTGATGTGCCCAGTGTGGGTAGTCCGGGCAATCCAAGCCAGGACTGCTTTGCAAGCGGGGCACCCCTGAGAACTGTCTGTCTGGGGTGGGGGTCGGGACCCTTTAAGCACAGCCCTCGTCTAGCCTGAGACAGCATCTCCACTCTCTAAGTCCTCCTCTGATGCCCTGCCGGCACTGCTTCCGGCCATCCTTAAGCCCGGTTCAGGGTCCACTTAATGTGGACATGCTAGTTCGAATTAGCAAAATGCTAATTCGAACTAGTTTTTTAGTCTGGATCCGTTAGTTCAAATTAGCTTAGTTCGAATTAACTAAGTTAGTTCGAATTAACGTTGTAGTGTAGACATACCCAAAATTAGTCCGAGGCAAGTTTCCCTAATGTAGACATGCTATCTCAATTTAGAGCCCCAGGAGGAATAACTTAGAATGGCCCTGCTGAAGGGCTATTTCGAAATAGGAGAAGTGGAGCATCTACACACACATTATTTCAAAATAGTGCTTTCAGAATAGGCGTTATTCTTCATAGAGGTTTACAGAAGTAGGAATAAGCCGTCCGTTATTTCAAAATTATTTCGAAATAATTAAATTATTGTGTAGCCACTTGCATAGTTATTTTGGAATAATGGCTGTTATTCCGAAATAACTTTGCTGTGTAGACGCACCTTTAGGGAATGAGATGAAAAAAAGCAGAGTTGGGGAGGAATCATGCTGGAGAGAATAATAGGGAGAAGGAAATGGAGCAAATTTGGCTTTGTCTACACTTAAAAGTTTGTGCTATGTCATTTAAACTGAATAATGTTGGAATTGAAATTAGTATTCTTAAGGAACAGTTCTTTCTCCCCATGGCAGCCTACATACTGAACCCCTCATCTTCTAGCCTTTTTTATATATCTCAGTTTCCACAGCCCTCAAAGGACTTAAGAGACAGTGCTGCCATGTGCTAGAATGGACTACTGTACTGGCATTGTCTGGAGAAATATACTAGAGCCTAGGATAATTCAAAATGATAACTTATAATAAAAAGGCCAGGACTTAATATTGCTACAAAAAATAAATATCTATTTTGTATTTTGTAGTGTCAGTTTTGTGATAAGGCTTTTATGAACTATTCCTTTCTACAAAGTCATATGCAACGCCGCCATAAGGAAGAATCTCACACTGGTGAGTACTTTAACATTTATCAGGAAATTAAGGTGATGTAAAATATGCAAATATATATTCAGGATATGCACTTTAGGATTTTGTGTACCCAGAAAGAATCATGTTTCCTTATAACTAGCATATTGCATAACCACTATTAATTTATAGTGGGCCTGATTCAACTCTTGTTAATTGCACTGGAGGTGGACAAGATCTTATAGTGCTAACAATGCTTATTTATAAAATTAACTTTTCCATGATACACCTTGTTCAGTGGTAATGTGACCCACATTTTCACAGCTATCATATACCCAAAGAAAGCCGTTGCTCTGAATTCTGCCACTGGCAAAGATAATGATTCTAAAAATGGCAGCATACGCTTCCATATTTATAACTATTTGGTGAAATGACTGGCATAACACATTTACATGTTAAAAAAACCCTGATCTGTCAAATGTACAAACTCACTCTGGGGCTTCTCAGTCAAATGGCTTATTCAACCAAGGTGCCAAACTCAATAATCTAGGATAGTAATCTTTGTTACACTACTTACTTAGCTTTCATCATCATCGTCTTTCACACACACTGGTGTATAGGGCAGCAACAAAAGTCCTCCAGTTCTGTCTGTCTCTGGCCAGCCTCTCAGTAGTGCCCCAAGTGTAATTCATGCTCTTCATTTCTACTGCAACGATCCGGTGCCATGTTGTTTTGGGTTGTCCTCGTTTCCGACGTACATTTCAGAACCCAATTCTGGTCTTAATCTTGGCGCTCAGGACTTCCATCTTCATGTCAATAGCTTCATTTCTGCTTTCACCACTGGCAGTCATACAAGTTACTATAAGTGACTCTGGAAGGCTGTCACACACAGTGGAGAAGGAATTCTTTGTTGATGTTTCCATAATAAAAGCTTTTTTTTTCTAGGTCAGGGCTGTTAGTCCTGAGCCAAACCCCCAATCCTGGAGGACTGGTGGGAATGCTTAGTCTGGCTCCTCTCCCCTTGATCTTTCTGGCTTGGTTGAACCTACCAGGAGCACTAAACTCCCACTGGCATAGCTCTTGGGATCATAAGACTATGCAAGCTGCCCGGCCCCGACAAGGCACATGTACAAGGGGAAGATAGTTAGCTTTACTTATTATGAAATAATTTTCTTAAAATAGTGCTGAAAATTAGGAAGTGGAATTATATCAAGATACCTGTACTCAAATTGTTCAAGCCATGTGGCCTTAGTCAGTATGACTAACAATATTAAATGTGCATAAGTCAGCAATACAGACTACATGGCTACAGGTTTATGGTAAAAGCACTTTGCCAGGTGCTTCAGAGGAATTTGCACATACAAAATACTGCTACATTTTAGTTGTCAGTATGAGTGATAAATTTAGGGATTTCTTTCTCTACCTCCTCTGCTTTGTGCTATCTGACTTTCCCTGTAGTGAAATTCTGGGAACAGAAGTTTCACCAATACAGGCAGTCCCCGGGTTACGTACAAGATAGGGACTGTAGTTTTGTACTTAAGTTGAATTTGTACTTAAGTCGGAACTGGCGTCCAGATTCAGCCGCTGCTGAAACTGACCAGCGGCTGACTACAGGAAGCCTGAGGCAGAGTTGCTCTGCCCCGGGCTTCCTGGAATCAGCTGCTGATCAGTTTCAACAGCAGCTGAATCTGGACGCCTGGGACAGACCAGCTGGGGTGCTGCCGGGTAGGTCCCCGCAGCGCTGCACCTCGGCGCTGCGGGGACCAACCCGGCAGCACCCCAGCTGCTCTACCCCAGGTGTCCCCAAGTCAGCCACTGCTGAAACTGATCAGCGGCTGATTCCAGGAAGGCCGGGGCAGAGCAACTCTGCCTCAGGCTTCCTGTAGTCAGCCGCTGGTCAGTTTCAGCAGCGGCTGACTTGGGGATGCCTGGGGCAGAGCAGCTGGGGTGCTGCTGGGTTGGTCCAGTAGCACCGAGGAGCGGCGCTGCGGGCCCAACCGGCAGCGCCCCAGCTGCTCTACCATAGGCGTCCACGAGAAAAGCCTGGTCTGCTGGGGGGGGCACTAGCTGCGCCCTCCCCTCCCCCAGCAGACCATGGAAACGCGGGCAGCAGGACAGAGACGCGCCGCGGTGCCGCCGCCCGGGTCCTCCGCGGCTTTGCTCCGCGTCTCCCCGGTCTGCTGGGGGGCCCCCCAGCACACCGGGGAGACGCGGAGCAAAGCCGCGGAGGACCCGGGCGGCGGCACCGCGGCGCGTCTCTGTCCTGCTGCCCGCGTTTCCATGGTCTGCTGGGGGAGGGGAGGGCGCAGCTAGTGCCCCCCCCAGCAGACCAGGCTTTTCTCGTGGACGCCTATGGTAGAGCAGCTGGGGCGCTGCCGGTTGGGCCCGCAGCGCCGCTCCTCGGTGCTACTGGACCAACCCAGCAGCACCCCAGCTGCTCTACCCCAGGTGTCCCCAAGTCAGCCACTGCTGAAACTGATCAGCGGCTGATTCCAGGAAGGCCGGGGCAGAGCAACTCTGCCTCAGGCTTCCTGTAGTCAGCCGCTGGTCAGTTTCAGCAGCGGCTGAATCTGGACGCCAGTTCCGACTTAAGTACAAATTCAACTTAAGTACAAAACTACAGTCCCTATCTTGTACGTAACCCGGGGACTGCCTGTATAATTCTGAACAAATCAAAAGTTATATCTCTGTATGGAATTATAAATAAAGTTACTTTGACAAATTAATATGCTACAATTAATCTTGCAGAATTACCAATGCGAGGATCATGCCTTTCATTCCTTCTTTGGCCTTCAACCCCTTATGTTCTTTATGGTGTCCCTAGCCTCTGTCAAGGGCTGGAAATGAGTGATGGGAGGGATCATCTGATGATTACTTGTTCTATTCATTCCCTTTGGGGCAGCTGGCATTGGCCATTGTCAAATGATAGGATACTGGGCTAGAAGGACCTTTGGCCTGACCCAGTACAGCCATTATGTTCTTTTCTAAGACCATTCCTTATGTTCTTTTATAGGGACACCATTCCTACCCATCCTGTGTAATAAGTATTGATGGACTTAACCTTCATGAATGTATTTATTCCTTTTTGAGCCCTATTAAATAACATCATCTGGCAAGGAGTTCCACAGGCTGACTGCGCACTGCATAAAGAAAAACTTCCTTTTGTTTGTTTTAAACTTGCTACCTAGTTCTTACGTTATGGGAGCAAGTAAATAACTTTTCCTTTTTCACTTTCTCCATACATATTTTATTATCTGTATTATATTATCTGTATCATATGAATTAACTTTAATATTAAATATATCATAAAGCTATTTTACATGCTGTATGTTTAATAAGACAGTGTCTGTCAATCTGTGACCTATGGAGTTTATTCAGTAATCCAGAGAATGTATTATTTTGAGAAGCAATCTGTGAGAAATTGTGATCTTGGGAGAGGAAAGGTGATCTGTCAGAGTAGTTTTTCACAGAATGAAATGATTAGAGAAGCACTGAAAGAAGATGTTTGTGCAGGAAATCACATTTTCCAAAATGTAACATTTTGTAACTGTATATTTCTTTCAAGCAGAACAAAAGAAGAAAGCACAGACAGATAAATTACAGGATGAGATCGATAAGTTGAAGGAAGAGTTACAGCTCACCAAGTCCCTCCTAGAAGCTGAACAACAAGCACAAGTGGTTAGATTTTCTAAGGTAGTATATACTAGGTATTAACAATTTCCTACAACAGTATTTCATAAACTTTTTAAGACCAAGAAACACCAAACAATCATTTTTTTTATGAGGAACACCAAGGATTTTTTGTTGAGAAAAAAAATGTGGGGGAGAAAGTTATTGAGGGTAAAAAAAAAAAAAACGGGTCAGGGGAAAGTTATTGAGAAAAATAAAGGTCACCGGCCCCTTTAAGGGTGGCCATTTTGAATTCTGTTCTCCACGGCACACCTCTGACTGCCTCGCGGCACACTGGTGTGCCATGCAATACAGTTTAAGAAACACTCTCCTACAAGAATCAACATTCTGAAATGTGCTCATTGAGCTCACAAATGAGGTGACTAGAAACTGAAACCTTAAATAGGATTTTTCTGTTCAGCAGCATTGTTCTTGTGCTACGTCGGCATTAGGTACAGCTCCTCCTACAATTTTTAAAACCCCATTACCTCCCACTATCCCTTCTTGTATGTATTTTGGAACTAATATCAAAGGCACTGCTGCTATTAGCACCTGCCAGTCATTAGATGGCAAAAAGGTCTTTTCAGAGCTGATAGACTGCAGGGTATTATAATACTATTTCTTATTTAAAATACCATTTAGTACCTAGACACCATGGTGATTGGACACATGCTAGATATAGCGCTGTAAATTTACATGTAGTTTTATAAACAGTAAGATGTTCTTTACCATGAGAACTTACAGTCCAACATAGGCAAGACATGAGACAACAGCTTACGGAAGGGGAGAGAAAGGTGGGAAAGTAATGGTAGGAAGATACAAATAATATCACTTCAGTTGGTGTGTTGAACTTTGAACCCTAGGTAAGCAGCCAGACAAAGCCTTTTAGTAATCTTGAAGCAGTAGGCCACCTCAGCCATTGTCGAGGGTTGATAAGAGAGGAAGCAAAAGTGGAAAGTGAAAAAATTTAAAAGCAGTAAGATAGCTTTAGTAAGTAGTTACATGCAAGGACTTTATTTATTACTATTTTTAATTTTGATTTCAACAGCATTCATAAAGCTGGAAGAGGGGATAGGTATTACAAACAAATAAAAAGATAATGCAGTTACATAGTTAAGCTACTGCACAACTTGATAATTTCTGGTGTTTCCAAAATATCTTACATTTTGTGTTTCTTTGCAAATAAATACAATCTGCTATCTTGTAGATATCACAAGAGAAGTGAGTTTTTAGAGGATATAGACCTAGCAGATAACTTCAAGGAGTGCATTCTGTGAACAAAGGGCAGTATGGAGTTGGCTTTTAAATAAGACATGCAGAGTTATAGACCAATCTCTGTCGAATTTTTATAAATATAATTTGATTTTTAAAATTGCATTATAAGTTGTTCTACCTTTCTTAAATGTTTGGTAACTTTCTTCTGCATAACTTCATTATAAAGTTCCCTTTACTTTTACTGCAGACCTCACAGTAGAACCCATAGTTGTTTCTAGTAAGAGGTTATGCCAAGGCAACAAGGGGAATGCAACCTTTGGAAAAAAATAATTGAGGGTATTTTAGATTCAAAGGCTCCTTTCCTCCTTTACTGTATGGAGCAATAGGTATGAATATCTACACAACAGCTAGGAGGTGCAATTCCTAGGTTTTTGAACAACTAATTGAGATAATGCCTAAAGATAGGGTTGTAGCTGCAGTGGCTTAGGCTAGCTACTGAGTATGTACCCAGAGATTCAGGCAGAATTGTATTCAGGCTACTAGTCCAAACTGCTGCCATTTCACCAAAGCCACTTGCCTATTTTTAGATGCTAGCTTGAGCAGAGCTGATATGTGTACATCTAACAAAGTTGGGAATTAAATCTCTTACTTATTTAGTAGATCTGTCCTTAGGCCATGTCTACACTACTGCTTTTATCGGTATAACTTATGTCACTCAGCAGTTATGCCAGCAGAAGCGCTGGTGTGGACAGTGCTATGTTGGTGGGAGACCTCTCTCTCATCAGCATACAGTGGCAACCTGAGTGATTTTACAGCAGCTCAGCTGTATCAGTACAGCTGTGCCACTGTAAGATCGCTAGTGCAGACATGGCCTTAGTCAGATTTCTTTCTAGCAAAGGTTCTCAAACAGGTGGTCAGGACCCCTCGAGGGGTCGCAATCAATGTTCCCTATAATCTTTTCCATTCACGTGAAGATTTTTTCCACCCATGTGCATAATACATTTTTATGTGCACTGAGGGACACTGTGGGACACATCCCAGAGGCCAAGAACTTAGACTTTCAGAACATTGCATCTGTACTACCGCAAAGTCAGCCATGCAAGGTGAAAGCAGAAGTACGGAAATCAACTTTAATGGCCCTTAAAGACGATTAAATGGCTTGGTGGTGTGGACTCATTGTTTAGAAAATTGACCTAATGTGGCTAATTTTGATCTAAACTCCCAGTGTAGACCAGGCCTAAATTTGGGCTTTATTTTACCTTTACATTATTAGAGTGAAATTTTAAAATATTCTGTTTTAAAGAAAATTTGACGTGAAGCCCTCTTTCCTAGAGAAGCTGCTGCCCAGCTTTTGATATGTATTACCCTGGATCTGTATTACCTGTATTACCCTGGATCTGTGAGGTCAGATACTCTTGGAAGTGAGTGGCAATGTTTCAGCCTAACAGTCATAGTAACTCAAAGCCTGTTATATTTAAATAAATCAACCATTATGAAAAGCTTGCATAAGAAGATGATTCTGATTCCCAGCAATGTGAATCTTGATCATAGGTTGCTGAAGAAAATGTCTCATGTCAGCATAGCGGACCTGAACTAATGTGAGCATCTGCTGTATATGCTAGCCAGTCTGTCCATATTTGATGGCTCAAAGTGATGTGTTTGAACAGATGGCTCATGCAGCGAAAGCATTGTTTTCTTTATGGCACAGAATACACAGCAATCCCAGAAGTCCATCATGGACACCTTGGTGTAGTCAAAACACATTCTTTTAAGGTATAGGAATCTAAGCGAGGGAGTTGCTTAGAGATTAGTGCTGAAATTAGTGCTTACACTGGCATGAAGCCCCTTTCTAGCTCTTTTCCCTGACAGTATTCAGGCTGTCATGAGAGGAGCCTGAGCCCTAGGGGAAAGCAGGGAGACAGAAATGTGGATTGTGGAGTGGCTGGTTGATTACATTCTGCCACTGTCACCCGCATTATCACCCCAGATATCCCTCTCTTCAGTGGGAGAAAACATTTTCTATCCTACCAGACACACCATCATTTTTTACAGAACTAGCTTCTCTTACAACAGAATGGGGAGACCCTGGAATCCTGCTGCTGGCCTCACTTTCCCTCTGTTCCTTTTCCTTTTCCATTCTATTTAATAGTAAGATAAATATGAATACAAACCCTGAATAAAAATAGCTATTCTGGTTACAGGATTTATTTAAATAAAGAGTAATCAGCTTATATAAATGAGGCTGGGGAGACAATAGAGAGAGAAAACAGGCAGAATACGGGGCATTATTTGTGGGAAAAGTGGCGTGAAGGTGGGAAGATTTACATTTTATCTTAAGCCCTTTAAAGCTCTACTATTGCTTGTTTTTTTCTCTATGAAAATAATTGTATTAATCATAGAATAGTAGAACTGGAAGGGTCCTTGGCAGGTCATCAAGTCCAGTACCCTGCCTTCATGGCAGGACCAAACACTATCTATACCAGGGCTACTCAACACGCAGCCCATTTGTTTGAGGCCCGCAGTGTGGTTTGGGTTTACACGGGGCTCAACATGCGGCCCACAAGTGGCATCCTTTGAACATGGCCGGCACTGGGAACACGCTCCACAATGGCAAGTCAATATAATGGTCTTCTGTTGATATGTGTTTTAGTAGTTAAATTCCTGGACTTTCATTGCTCATTAAAAGTGCTGTCATATGGGTGAATTCGTGTAAATACTGCGTTTTATTAATATCAGCAGAACTGACTTAAATGGGGCCTGTGTGTTGTGTAGTCTTGCCTTAATCTTTGTAATCATGCCCATCAGTGTGAAAAGAGCTATTTGCATATATTTGAATATGTATTTTCATGAATATGCAATCACATTTAAGTTATGGCCCTCGGCATGTGCTGTGAGTATCATTGTGACCGTGGGGTTTCCAAAGTTGAATAGCCCTGATCTAGATCATCCCTGATAGACGTTCAACCAACCTGTTCTTAAGTATCTCCAATAATGGAGATTCCACAACTTCCCTAGGCAATTTAGTCCAGTGTTTAACCACCCTGACAGTTAGAAAGTTTTTTCTATGTCCAATCTAAACCTCCCTTGCTTCAATTTAAGCCCATTGCTTCTTGTTCTATCATCAGAGGTCAAGGAGAACAATTTTTCACTCTCCTGCTTGTAACACCCTTTTAGATACAGGTTGAATCTCTAAAATCTGGGACAGTCTGGTACGGCAACATCTGTGGTCTGACAGGACCACAAATACTGTTGGACCAGCGAGCCCCGGCTGTCCAGGTTCAAAAGCACAGCCCAGGCTGGGCTGGCAGTGAGGAACCCAGCCCCAGGAGGGTGGAGAGCACAGCCCTGGCCAGGGCTGGCGGTAAAGAGAGCAGCCTCAGTCAAGACTGGAGGTATCCAGGGCTAGTACAGCCTTGGCCTGGGCTGGCATGGTGCAGGAGCGCAGTTCCAGCCGGGGCTGGCAGCAGGGAGCTTAGCCCAGCCAGGGCTAGAGTCAGCTGGGCTCATAGCCCGGGCTGGCTCTGAGCAGGGGGGGGGCACAGTCCCTTAGAGGCTTGATGCAGCCCTGGCCAGGCCAGGCCTGGCATGGTGTGGGACTGGAGGCAGCGGCAGGTGGCAGGGAGCGCAGCCTCAGCTGGGAGCCGAGCCTACAGCCAGGTTGGAAGCCTTGACCTCCCCTCATCTGGGAAACTTCATTGTTCAGGACCACTCAAGTCCCAAGGCTGCTGGACAAGGGAGGTCTGAGCTGTACTTGAAAACTGTTGTGGCTATGTCTACACTGCAGAGAAAAGTCGGGAAAAGATACACAA